AAAGTTTTACAAAAAAAAGAAATTTCTTATACAAAAAACTGTTTAACGTAGAATACATAAAAAAAGCTATTGGCAGCCTACACAAAGATTTCATTTTTCTACTATCATTCATCTGTTGCTGGGATTTTCCATAAATCAGTGCATAGATTGACGTCTGATGATGTGAAAATCTAAATACATGAGACACAAATAATTAAAAAAATGAATTCTGCACTTACTAGAATTGATAAAAGATTTGTACAATCAGCATCAATGACGCCTATAAGTATTTTAATGAAAATTACATCTAAAACAAACGAGAATGAAAAAAGAGAACAATAAAAATTATCAATTACTCTAATACAGGGTGTAAAAAAACCATTACGCCCCCCCTTCCAGACCTAAAGACCAAATAGTACCCCCAACAATTTTATACCAAATGAAAGCCCGCAAAAAGTTACGTCTAGTGGTATAGTCAGAACAAATATAGTTTGTAATATTATAACGATTCTAGGCTCAATACATCATTTTCACTTATATATCACAATCTCGAGTACGTCAAAAGCCGTTGTGCTCAACAGTAACTTAAGTTGTGAATCATTAATTATTCAGTTTATTGATAATGTTGAATACTAAAAAATGCTTTTTCGAAAGTTTCAGAACTTCGTATGACCCCCATCAGCAGCCTTGAGAGCATCAAATCTTTTTCGCATCGAGCATAACAAGTCAATAAAAAGATCTGTATCATTTTCAAGATCTTTGAGCGTATTCTCCAAATTCGTTTTCAGTGCATCGTAATTGTATCTGCTACGACGATCTTCATTTGCCATTAGTTCCTCAACTTTATCTTTAATAATTGCACCAATATTTTCTGCAGGATTCATGTCAGGACTATTGCCTGGCCAAATTGAATTTCCCCAGAAATTCACATTCCCATCTTCTAAAAGATGTTGTGTTGCATTCGCTTTCATACAAGGTGCCTTGTCGTGAAGAAATATCACTTCGTTCGTATCGAGAACATTGGACGAATCACGAAGAAATGGGATCACCTGTTGTCGAAGGATAGTGTCACGAAAATAAGCGCCATCCCAAGACTGTCCATGTTCTTTTAGCACCCAAAGTACTTTTTTTGCAGTAAACATGACGAAAACCCCAATACATGTTGCATTGTAAACCATCTCTCGGTATCTTTCATCATCACTGATGTCTTCAATACTTCTTGCCCAAATTCGATCATTTTGATGGTTTGGTTTTCTTACAACATAAATGTAAAATTCATCCGAAGGTGCAACATGTAGAAAATCTTCTTCAGTCCAATCAGTAAGAAAATTTGCTAGCCACTTGCGATCTTCGATATGTGTATTTGTCTTCAGTGGCTTGGCAATCACATGGAAAGCTTTTAATCCTTGCCGATGGCGTTCATTGTAAATAGTCATGTGACTCACCCGCTGTTTTGTTTTCTCTAAAATCTCTCTTGCAACTTTTCAACAGCTACTGCTTTTGACACCACTTGCAGAAGAGATAATGTTTCTGCTCTCCTGATTAAGCACCTGGGGTCGACCACTGCCAAATTGTGTATAACATTCTTCGATAGATTTATTCCAATTTCGTCGTACCCAATCTTCACTGCGACGTAGCTTCTCGGAAATCCAAGGGCGAGTAATAATTGAGTCTCCTGTTCTTGCAATCAGTTCGTCACGTATTTCACGATATGTTACACATCGAATTCTGTCAACAAATCGTTGCTCTTCCGAATCATGAAGCAGATTAGCCATTTTGGTTTTTCAATTAATGTACCATAGAATTTTTTATTAACTAATCAGCAAATTGTTCAACGTCTAACGTGAATAAAAATTACTTGCGCGGACAACAGATACTCAGAAAGAAAATCAATGAAAAAAGTTGAAAATATTTCGACACTCGACCATTTTCTTTTCTGTATTCTCTTCTTATCTGTTCGTGCATAAATGTGCACATAACTTTCTTTTTTTCTGTTCCTTCTTCTCGTTATCAGTCATCAATAGTAAGGCTTTTGATAATTCACACTAAACATTACTCAACTCGCTCACGTGCTTTGTGATACTCAAATATAACATTAGAAAACGAAAATTTGGCAAAATACGTGACATATTGGTCTACGATATCGTACATTTAATAAAAACTTGGAGCCATGAAAACTACGATCTATTAATACGGAATTCGAAAGTGAAGAAAGATAACTTGTATCATTTCAATTGATATGAGACTGTGATACATAAGTGAAAATGATGTATTGAGCCTAGAATCGTTATAATATTACAAACTATATTTGTTCTGACTATACCACTAGACGTAACTTTTTGCGGGCTTTCATTTGGTATAAAATTGTTGGGGGTACTATTTGGTCTTTAGGTCTGGAAGGGGGGGCGTAATGGTTTTTTTACACCCTGTACACTTGATTTTACTAACAGAATCTGAGAAAATATCTATCATCGAAAATTTTCAGAAACTATTTATCTTTCATTTGGATTAGTGAAGCAAAAGTTTTTTTTCATTTATGAGCGCAGCTGTATAAGCAGTCGTCCGCAATGTTGTCATGATGATAAATGACCGTTACACTACATCTCTTGCAGGCCGTCTTCTTTACCAATGGTTAGCCTCTGACGTCCAAATTTCTCCGTATTTATTTCTATTCTTATGCGATCATCTGCTTTGTTGCAAAAAGCTGAACAATTATCTAAGTGCAGACAAAGATTAGAATTGAAGATGATTATTGGTTAAAAAACATAATTGTCATAAATATAGACGATGCTACTTATCATTATATAATAGTAAATGTTGATAGAATAGTTAGAAAAATAAATTTAGCACACTAATAATATTCTATCAGTGCATGGTATGATTTTTGTTTGGACGTGTCGAACAATATTGTGCTTAAAAATTCATAAAACTCGATTTCATAATATTTTAATCGATAAATACTGTTTATTTTTTTCGATTTTTGTCGTAACATTTTGTCAAGCGAAACAATACTCCTTGAATAAGTGTCGTTTTTGCGATATTTAGTTTTCAATCAATAGTAGCATCAACCGAAGCAATGTATGACTAACAAAGCGCATGATTAGTATTAATCACATTGGACAGCATTGCATGAAGATTTTATTATTACTGATGTCGTGATCGATCATCAATCTTATTACTAGAGTTTCTACGAAACAACGAGCACAAAAGCGATCAGTTCATGCAAGGACTGAATTTTTGACTACTGAAGACTACGTCAGTTAGTCAAGTATATTTCCAAGTTATATGTACAAGATCACAACAATTATACCATACAGCAAAAGTTCAACTGTTCATAATAATAAGTGCACTATTTGGTATAAAAGCATAGTACGATTATAATAGCGTCGCTTTTTGCCGTTATCGTGGCGTAATGAACGCAATACAATATTGCGATTATAGCGTCGCTTTTTGCTTTTCGCCGTAATCGCGTCACAATGATCGCTATATAATATTGCGATAAATAGCGTCATCATTCTGCTCAATAACGCCGTTTTTTGCCATTTTGACGATATAGCGGCGTTATTGAATAAAAGAAGACGACATGGGCTGGCAGTGTGCCTCTTCATTTTCAATCACTCGATCGACTAACAGCTTGGCAGTTCTCGTGGAACTTATTATCCTTCAGGTTACGTGATATGATTAAAAAAAAGAAATATTCAAGAACGAATGTTCGGTCAAATCGCATATATCCCAATACGTTTTTAGATGCTACAGAATTCAGAGGGCAACTTCTATCATAAGCCATAAAAGAATGTGATAAAATGTATGCAATACGCATTTGCTTTTTATCTTTCACTTTTGAATTGATGTGTCTGTTTAATTACTTTGGTTTAAGAAACGAATAGTTATATGGCATGTCATGGTGTATGAATTAACTAAAAAGTGCAAAATAATATGTCGACGGCCAAATGAATTAATCAAAAACTTTTTAGTTTGTAGTACGTTTTCGTTTGTGATAAGTTATAGTCATATATAGCCAAAACTGCTATATTGTCTAGCATCTGGAAAACTCAATATCTCAAGAGAGAAAAATCATGAAGTCAAATCTTTCTACGGTTATAATTGTCTAGTGATACTCTTGATATTTCTAAAATATGAGCTTGAAAGTTGTGAGTAACTTCGAACGGTTCTCTTGTTAAAGATTTTTCTGAAGATGCCAAAAATGAACGAATGAATACTGTTTATGTCAGTAAAGATTTACAAACAGAGTCTTAATCATGTAAGCCGGTGTCTGTGAGTGCCTCGAACTCTCAACGCTAGTCACATAGTTATTTCAGGTAATTTCAAGAGATCCATTGGTTGTGTAGATAATGTTTCCAGACGATGGAATAAGCCAAATGCATACATCAATCAAAATGTTTGCCGTACTATTTAACAAATGTTGGTTTTACGATGAAAACCTTGTGATCAAAGGTAAATAGGGTACGGTACAAAAAAATTGCACAATATGTTGACTCTATTTTTCTTCGATGGTATAGTTCAAAAGAAATTTTTTTTAACCAAATGACAGAGCTTTTCTCTTGTTTCGGATTGTATATAATGCATATTTATGACATGTTCATAAATGAAACTACGTATCAGAAAAGAGAATTCATATTTTTCGTGAGATTCAGAAACGCTGCACAAAATGTTGATTCCTCTATCTTTGCGATAACGCTCCAATAAACACGTTTCGAAAACAACATTTTTTTAATCAATTATGGGAAGTTTTCTCCTCTTTCGAACAGTGTATGATTCAAATGTGTCATGCATTCATACATTGAAATGAGAATCGAAAAAAAAAGAAACACTCACGCAACACATTTGTAATATTTATATGAACTCGACAAAAACATCTTGATAGGCAGCAATTAATTTGATTTTTGTAGACTCATTAAAAAGATTTTCTTAAATGGCGGCTACTTAAACTTTTATGAAATCGATAAAAATCCCTGTACAACGACAGTAGTTGATAATTAACTGTTCTCTAAAAATTATGAATTTATTTTGCGAATGTTTTTCTTTTTTTCTTGCCTCGCTTCATTTATCAAGGTGTGATGAACATGAATAATATACTGTTGGAAAGAGAAGAAGAAGTTCTATCGTTTGGTTAAAAAGTTTTTTCAACACTCTTTTATCGAATAGAAATAAGCATTGATATTTTTTGCAATTATTTTTGTATCTTTCGTCCTAAATTCGTGATGAGAAGCGTGTAATAGAGCGACTGGCTCATCACTGCTGATTCAAAGAATGAATGAAAACATGTAACACGAATGAACGTAGGACAAACAGGGTATAAAACTGATGAGAAAAAGATAATTGACTTATGTACACATATGTATATTTGTGGCAGATGTCCCTCAAGGTGACTATGAAAAATAGTAAGAGATAGAATTCGTCAAAATGCATTTTATTTTTCATAACAGCTATACCATTTCGTTGAAGGCTACGATTTGATTCGCTTCTTTTTTCTTCTTCATGTGTGTATAATCAGGCGTAACTGGGCGTTAAACAGAGAACGCATCACGAGGAAAAAAGCAAAGAAAAATTTCAATTACAGTTGCAAAAACGTATACTGCTTAGTTGTTATTCATAACCATGAGCACCCCTTGGCAGCCATTAGCTTTAGTAATAGCTGTGGGAGTTAGCAGTAGTCTAGTGATAATCGGCCTGTCACTTAGTTTAGGCTTAGGTATTGGGCTAAATAATAGCAACCAAAATTTAACAGTCGTTACGACAACAAGCTCAACAATAGTAACTACTTCAAATACCACAGACACCACTAGTAATAACTCGACAACATCCACAACAACGACAACGACAACGACAACGACAACGACAGATTAGTTGTGTGATCACTATAATTTTCTGTGTGTGAGACTGTATATCAAGTTCTATTTTAATCAGATTCATTCAAGAACACGTTACAATTGATCATATTCAACCGTGTGTATAGGATTCCAAGAAAGAATAAAAAAATACAGCAGTTTTGTTTTTCTTGTTCCATAATTTTTCAGTGCAAGGCTCGGTCATTTGATATCAATCCTCTTTATTTTTATCATTTCTTAAGGCTTCCCGTCCTCAAAAATTGATCTCAGCCGAGACATATCCAAATTCGATG